CACCTGATGCTCGTTAGAGCCCCTCCCGGTTGCCTTGTGAACTGGGTCTGTAAGCTAAACCTGCATTTCGCGGGGCATTCGTGAATTTCGTCAGGCGTCTAGCGTGCTTCAAAACTGCACATGGTAACCACCCGGTTTGTCTGTGTCGCAACAGTAAGGGGTTGCAGCACTTGTCCCTGTTGTGTGTTTAGGGTTACTAAACGAACATTACAATACCGAAACAAGCATGCACAACAATTGTTCTTCGTAGTACAAAACAGTCAAAACACAAACACCTTCCAATCAACATCCTCCACCTGGCCCATCATCTCCATTCAACACACAAAACCAAACACGCACAAATGGGCACAAGGAGTGAACACTTGGGCTCTCAGCAAAATGCCTTCGACACCTTGCGAAGTCTGCTCCACCCCCCCCTCACAGACGCATCCACTCAGCCGCGTCCACATACCCGTCCATCACGGCGCCCACACCGGCGTCAAACAACTCCTGACGGCGAGATGGACGGGTCATCCAGCCGGGCAGCACACGGCCGCGCGGACGAGGGGTCTCGGGCGTGGGAGTTGCGCCCGGGAGGGTACGGGCTGAGGCGCCACGTTGAGGTTGAATGACGGGCTCGCCCGCTCCATCCGCGCGATTACGATGGGGTTGCGGATATCGAACAGATGGCACAGATCGCGCGGCGTGATGCGGGTGGCCCGTGCATATCCGATGAGCATCTCGCATGCCGCCCGTGCAGTGCGCCGCGCTTCGCGGCACACTGGGTCGGCGTCGTCGTAGACGGCTTGCATGGTCGTCGGCGCGTGCCAGAGCTCCACCTCTAGGCCCGCCTCCGGCTCAGTCGTGGGCTGTCCCGCAGCGCCCTCGGCGCACGTTGGCTCGTCGTCGTCGATGGCGACGTACTCTGCGGCCGTCATCGCCGCATTCCCGAGGGCGAGCCCGCTAATAAACGTCCCGACATCGTCGATGTCGTCGTCGAGCTCGATGTCGGGGTAGACGGCGGGGGAGGGCTCATCGTCGTGTACCTGCGTCAGCTCCAGGGACCACGAGAGCGGCAAACACCTCGTGCGCCACCAGCACCGTTGAATGGTGCGCGCGCCGACCGAGGTCCACGCGTCCGACAGCCACGCGAGGACATCGCGCAAGTTCGGGCGGAAACGCGCGACGGCGGAAGTCGCGCCGTCGCCGTTCCACAAAGCCGAGAAGGCCCGCAGCCAATGCTGTCGGTAGCGGGCCTTTACGGTGGCTATGATGCCTTGATCGAGCGGCTGTGTGAATGCGGTGGTATTCGGCGGCAGGAAGACGAGCCGCACGTTGCTCATGCAGGTCGTCCGCATGCCGCAGACGATCTCGCTCCATGCGAGCTCAGAGCGGAGCATGTGGCTGCTCGTGTTGTCGAGCAGCAACACGATCTTGCGACCTTCGGCGTACATCGCAGCATTGAGCTGCGATATGAAATGTGTGAATAACTGCAGGGACGGGAAGGGAGGGGAAGGCGGAACGTACAGTGGAACATTGTAAGCACAAACACATTCCATACAGATTTGATATTACGCGTAATTTGTCTGCGCAACAAGAATGGACGACACAAAAAAACACGACGAGCTTACTGGCGAGGTCATCCAGCCTTTCGCGTTGTGCCGCCAGTAGCAAAGGGATTCAGAGTCATAATCCGGGCGGATGTCATGCGGCCGCTTCGCCTTACTGATCACGAGCGGTCGGAATACGTGGCTCCCGTCAGCATTCACGAGGAATGCCACGGTGAGCCGCTCCTTCGATACTTTGCGGCCGGGAATGCGGCCGTTGCTGTAAGTGCGCCGTGGGAGGACTGACAGCCAGAGCGCCGTCTCATCGAGGTTGAAAGTGTCCCGCGGGGTGACACCGAGATGCGTGAGGAGTTGCGGCAGCTTCTCACGTGCGTGGCGCACGGCGGCCATGTCCGCGCTAGCCGCCTCGCCTTGTGCTGCACGGCACCTCACTCCCTGGCGCCTCAAAGCACGGCGCACCCAGCTGATGGAGCAGCGGAATGAGGGCGGAATGCTCATGTTCCGGGACATCGTCGCGACATGGTCGCGGATGGTCTGCAGCGTCAGAGGCACGCTAGCGGGCCCTGCGTTTGCGATCCACCGCGCCATGGCCTGCTCCAGCTCAGGCCACGCGCCACCTCGACGGCGCACTTGGTTGTCGCCGGTTGCCGTGACAGCCCATCGCTCGGCGAGCTTCAATATGCGGCCGACAGTGGAGATATCCGGGCGCAATCCGTACTGTGTGTAGCACCACCTCGCCAGGTCAACATGACGCAGGCGGGGGTTGTCGACGTGGTGCGCGCAAATAGCGCGCTTGATATGGAGCGGGAGCTGCTCCCGTCGATTAAAGCGGGGCATTGTGAGCGGCTGGGGTGTGAGAGAATGCTGACTTTGTGAATTAGTTGTTCGATTTTTATCGTCATAGGTCGGGCGTGCTGGGCAAAGCTGGGGCCTGTTCTTTGTTGCATGTCACATTTTTGTGGTTGGTGTTCGTTCCATGCACATGGCTTGCATTTTTTATCGTGTGGTTTGGTAACCACACCCTCGAATGTCTGACGTGGGGTGGGCGAAGCACGCCTGGCTGGTAATGCACTTGTACCTTGCAAGTCCCGAATTACACGTGGCAGCTTGTATCTGACCAAATGCCTGTTACACGCACGATGATCCTTGCTTAGGTGGCGGCTTAGATGGGAGAATGCGTTCACGAAACCATAGTCGTTTCGTCCAATCATTTCGCCTCTCCGACTCTTGGCCTAGAAACAAGGCAACAGTGGGTCGGCATGGCTTGTTCGGGACTGCACGTGCATTGATGGCCGAGTCGCGTGTACTGTTGCCAGCCACCCATGTGCTTGTACTGTGGGAGCAGCAAGCAGGGGTTTCCAGCTCGGGGGCAGCATTTCCATCCGGTGCATGGCAATTTCGCGTGCACTGGTCGACCACCTCATGCAGCCCACCTCATTCAATCCGCTGTTCTCTCCCACATTCACGCGTTTTTGGGGATGCATCATGCAGTGAAATTGGAATTGGCGTGTGCAAAGTGCTGCACGTAGCTCGACGTCGAGCTACGTCGAGGTAGGTAGGTGGGCTCAGGGGTACTTTCGGGTGTTCAAAGTACGCCTCAAATTTTGCTGACGCTAGCTGACGTCCCCTGCAATTACAGAGCACAGTTTTCCGGGGCAAATTTACGGGCACCAGAAAAACAGCGGCCTGCAAATATGTTTTTTGCTGGAACCTCTCTAGGCTTGAGAGATTCATGTACGTGGGTTGCTTGGAGGTGTGGAGCTGGCGAATCCGTTTGGCAGATTCGGAACAATCTGGAAAGTCATATTCTTGCCTGGCTCGTGTACAGTTTTCGGGTTAGAACAGTTTTTAGGGCAAATGCCGGCCTGCAGGTGTTCAAAGTATGATCCCGACGTACGGTGACGTCAAGATCTGACGTCACCACGACGTCGGATGCTTGACGTCCGTCTAAAGTGCGTCGAAACTACTTCGCACACGCCATTACGGATCATGCTGCATGCACTCTGCATCATGCATTATGCATCACGCTGTACACCTGATGCCTATTTCAGTCCCCTTCCCCATCTTCTCCTGTGCTCCTCTCTCGAGCACGCGCTCCCCATGGGGAGAATGGGACTGTATTTGGGTAGCCTAGCGTGTCTTGTCTGGGAAACTCGAATAACTTATTCGCGGTCAAGAATATCTTGGTTTTGTCGTGGGCTAGTAACGCGCGGGCCGTTGGCTGTGAATGTCGACCACTGGGCGTATGGAGTGGCAGGGGGCGTGTTCAGAGTGGGCGGTTGATTGAGCATTAGGGTGTACTCTGTTCGTTGCCGCATTGTGCTGGGCTCTCTGCTCTGCTCTGCTTCCCTCCACTTTCCCCGCACTGCTCGTGCTGACACACATGACAGCCAACCACTTACACTACACGTACACGTACCTACTCGCTACTGACAGATGCATGTTCACAACAATACAACTCACAGGAGGGTCAGTTTGCGCGTTCGCCAGTTTCTTTAATGACACCCTTCCGATATGCGGGAATGTGGAAACAGCTTTCGGCCTCACGCTACTGTACTGCTCCATATCCCTAACCTGTAAAACCGCGTCGTACTATTGAAATGCACAAGACGACGCGACGAGGCCCGGTCGACGCACGTGTCGTGTCGTGTCGTGTCCCTGGTCCTTCATGCGTCCTGGCTGTGCCGTTCCAAGCGTCCATGAGACCTCGTAAATATGTCGTTCCCCCAAGGGCCCTTTCATCAGACGTGGCATGTGCTCGACACGTGTCTCTCTTTTCCACAATAGAAGCGTGTGAGACTCGAAACTCGCCGCGCGGCGCGGTGCAGCGAAGGTCCTATTCGCAAGTTCTCTTCAGTAAGGTCACAATGAATATTATCCGGTACAGTAAGAGCATCCAATGTGTACATGTACACTCTGACTGATACGCGACAATCTTGACTAAGTTGACCTAAACCACCAGTGCTGGCAGCTGGAGGTTCCTCTTAGGTTCTTAGTGTACCCTATTACTGTAGCTGTTGTTATATTTATTGTTTATTATTACACTACCCAGCCGAGTCCCATAGGCTCGCACGAAGCAGTTACCCGATGGCACCAGTGACGGGGAGTGTGGCTCGGCGCGCGATCGCTACTATGCCGCCACGGGCGCCGTTGCTTCGGTTCAGTTCGCTTCGCTTTGGTTCGGTTAGGTTTCCGTTGGGAGCTCTCGGTTCGGTGGCGCTGCTGCTGCTCTTGCTGCTGCTGCCGCCGTGTGTCATGCCGCGGGAAACAGGCGCCGATGCACAGGCTGCTGCTGCCGCTGCTTCTGCTGCTGGTGCTGATGGTGCTGGTGGTGGTTATGCTGGTCAAGACCTTGGGAAACAGCAGCAGGAGCAGCAGCAGCAGCAGCGGAGGGATTTGAGTGCAGCGGTAGCGAGAGAGAGGGTGGCGGAGGAGCAAGGTGCCGTGGCGCCGATGCGGCACCAGCAACAGTGGCACATCACGTGGCTGCGCGCGGAAGACGCGGGGGAGAAGGCGGAGGCGGAGGCGAGGTGGGAGGAGGCGGAGACGGAGGCGGAGGCGGGGGAGGGGGCGGAGGCGGAGGCGGAGGGGGAGGGGGAGAGGGGGGAGATAAAGGAGGACACGCCAGGAAAGCGGGAGGGAGGGCGAGACGAGGGGGGGAAAGGGTTCGAGCAAGGGAGTGTGGATGGTGTGGCAGCGCGTGAGAGGGAAATGGCTACTGCGGAGAGCGTTGGGGGAGGAGGAGAGGCGAGTGTAGGCACCCGGGACGGGAACATTGGTGGTGGGGATGTGGATGGGAGCAGGGGCGGGGGCGGGGATGGGGATGGGGGCGGAGTGAGGGAGAGAAGACCTAGACATGGGGCACGAAGAGAGGAGGGACGAGGACATGGCGGGGTGCGTGTGCAGAGCGCGAGTTTGATTGGGGAAAGTGAGATAGTCGCAGAGAGAGGGGGTTCGGGAGTGGTGGCTCAAGGGGAGACAGGGGATGAAGGGGATGAAGGGCTGAAGGGAGATGCGGGAGACGCTGGGGATGGAGACAAGGAGGAAGTTATGGGCGGAGGCGAGGGTGGGAGAGCTGAGGGAGCGCATGGAAGCATTGCTTTTGAGCAACGACGCAAGTGCCGGCCTTTTGGCGCTGGTGGTGGTGGTGGTGGCGGTGCTGATGGTGATAGTGGGGATGGCGACGGTGATAGCGGCAATGATGACGAGTGCCTCCACGCTCACGTACATGCATTGCTCGGCTCGACTGCGATTGCTACTGCTTCCCATGCTGCCGCTGCCGCTGCTGCTGCTGTTTCTGAGGCGCCTAAAAAGATTGTTTCGTCTTCCGGTGGAGTGAGCCCTCACGCCTCCTCGTTAGAGACGCCTCAGCAGTCTTCTTCTGGTGCGGCGGGCGGTGAGGCCTCGGGGCGTGCCGCGGACGCTGAATCCTCTCCCTCTTCTTCTTCCTCGTCCCAGCAGATCCACTCGGGCAGGAAGCGCAGCGGTGGGCGGACGGAGAGGCAGCAGTGGTGGGAAGGAGCGCAAGAGATGGAGCTGTTTGAGGAAGCGCAGGAGCACGGAGCCGTTCAATCCGGCACGGAGCATTTGTTGGAGGTGGTTCGAGCGGAGGAGAGGGAAGCAGCCGCGGGGACTTTTGGGACATCTCAAAAGACGCAGGAGCACAGAGCAGGTCAATCCGGCACGGAGCATTTTCTGGATGTGGTTCGAGCGGAGGAGAGGAAAGCAGCAGCCAAGAGAGCGGCGGGCGGAGCAGACGACAGCATAAGGGCCAAAGGAGAGGGTGGAGGAGAGGGCAGGGGAGAGGGCAGAGGAGAGGGCAGAGGAGAGCGGAGCTTCTCAATGCAACGGAGCGCTGAGGCATACAGTGCTACTGTTGCTACTACTGCTGATGCTACTGCTGCTGCTGCTGGCAATGATGATACCATGTGGAGTAGTCTTCAAGCTACCGTTGCCCAGCTGCTGCTTCTCGCTCCCTCATCTTCCCCCGCACCCTCTCCCGCTCCCGCGCCCCTCCCTAACCCCTCCCCTCCTCCCCCTCCCGCTCGCCCTCCCCCTCCCCGCCCCCCTCCACCCCGGCCCCCGTCTATCTCCTCTCCCCCGCCTCCTCGTCCCCCCTCCCCTCCCTCCCCTCCCCCCCCTCCTAAGCCCCCGGCCCCACAGCCGCCTCCCTCCCCCCTTCCCCCTCCCCCTTCCCCGCCCCCACCCGCTCCTTCAAACCCCCCTCCTCGTCCTCCCCCCCTCCTCCCTCCTCCCACACCCCCGTCTGCTCCCGCCCCCCCTCCCCCCACGACTCCCCCTGTTCCCCGCCCTCCCCCTTCTCCTGTCCCGCTTCCCGCCGACTCCCCCTCCCCAGCCCCAGCCCCAGCCCCAGCCCCAGCCGACTCTGCCGCGCCCTCCCCTGCCCCCGCTCCTGCTCCCTTGCTCGGCCCTTCCCCCGCCCCCTCCCCTGCCCCTACCCCTACCCCTCCCGCTCCCCCTCCCCCGCCACCTACCCGTTCTCCGCCCCCATCTCGCTTCCCCCCTCCCAGTCCCTCACCCCCTCCCCCTCCCGCTCCCCCTGGCCCCCCGTCCCCCTGCACCCCCTGGCAATCCGCGCCCATCCTCTTTATAAACAGACCCTGGGAGATAACGAAGCGCCTCAAGTACCCACCCTCCACCACGGTTCTTCTTATCTTAAACGCATCCTTGAACCTCCCCTTTGGTATAGTATTCAACGCCTCTTATTCCTGTACTATTCTGAGATCCGCCAAGCCTGGGGAAGGGGGGAGCAGTGGGGCGGACGGCGCATGGGGGGGGTTTGTGGGGTTGTGGCAGAGAACAGCAAACGGAGCAGCAAGCGGGATGGCAAGCGGAGCAGAAGCAGCAGGAAGGGCAGAGGCAGCAGCAGGCACAGCAGGAAAAGAGACAGCTGATTTCTGGAAAGAAGGAGCATCAGATGAAGGGGCGGACTGGGAAGGAGTGAGAGGAGAGGGGGGGGCGGAAGCAGGAGCAGCAGCAGGAGTAAAGGCAGAGGCAGCAGGCACAGCAGGAGAAGCAGAGTTAGGAGATTATTGGGAGATTAGTGAGGTGGTAGATGGGGAAAGGGTACGAGGAGCGGGGATGGCGGAAGCAAGGACAGCAGCAGCAGCAGCGGAAGGAGGAGGAGCTTCAGCTTCAGCAGCAGCAGCAGCACCAGCAGCAGCAGCAGCAGCAGCACCACCAGCAGCAGCAGCAGCAGCAGCAGCACCAGCAGCACCAGCAGCAGCAGCAGCAGCAGCAGCAGGGGGGGTGCCATGGGGGGGGTTCACGATCCGACTCGTTATAAGAACGGATCAGCCGGTGCTGTCGATAGTAGGCGCGCACAATGTGCTTATATACGACGTGAGCTTTGTCCTTCGCATGGATGACACGTCAGCGCCGTGTAGGAGCGTGCCAGTGGTGGTGAACGAATGGGATAGCTGCCCTGCAATCCACGTCAGCAGATCGTACGGCGTGCAGATTGGCAAGGTGAGTGAGATGGGAGTGGGGAGTGGTGAGGGGTGGAGGGGGGTTGGAGGTAGGGGTGAGTCTTGAGTCGACTCAGAACAAACTTAGATCGTACGGCGTGCAGATTGGCAAGGTGAGACGGGGAAGGAGGGTGGAGGAAGGGGGGGTGTTTGAGCTGACTCAAAACAAACCTAGTTCGTAGATAGGCAAGGTGAGATGGTGAAGGATGCAGGAGGGTGGAGGGGTGGGCGGGAAAGGGGGAGGCGGGAAGGGGGGAGGCGGGAAAGGGGGAGGCGGGAAGGGGGGAGGCGGGAAGGGGGGAGGCGGGAAGGGGGGAGGCGGGAAAGGGGGAGGCGGGAAGGGGGGAGGCGGGAAGGGGGGAGGCGGGAATGGGGGCGGTAGGAAAGGGGAAGGTGGGAAGGGAGTGGCTATGGGAAGGGGGGAGTGATTCGCATGTATGCTGCATCAATCATGCACTTGCCATCCATGCTTGCATAGGCTGCTGCAGTCAGCTCTAGCCTTCATTCTCCCCGTCCCCGTTTTCCTCCTCAGGGCCGAGTGTACGGGCGGATAGAAATGCTGCGAGTGATGGCGTCTTGTGTGAATGGCATGGAGATCCCAACCCTGGACGCTGATCCCACAGTCATGCTTCGAGTGATCAATACACATGCCACATATCCACATGTGATGAGTCGATTCTTGAGTCGACTCAAGAATTGACTCCTCATCACACAGTGATCGATCAATATACGTGCTATATATCCACAGAGCTCTCAGCACTTTCTCCCTTCCTATGCCTCATCCACTCCCCCCTTTCCCTCTCCTTTCTCTCCACTTTCCTTTTCCCCTCCGCCCCTCCCTTTTCCCTGCCCCGCCTCACCCCCCCTTCCCCCGTACTTCCAGGGCCAAGTGTATGGGCGGATAGATATGCTGCGCGTGATGGGGGCTCGGATCGATGGCATGTTGATCACATCCCTGGATGTTGACACGTCAGCAGGGGCTGTCCACGTGGCACTCTCTGGCCATGGCCCCACGCTGCTGCGCTCCGATATAAGCATCACCAATAACGAGATTTATGGTGCGTGGGATGTATGGGAGAGTTTGTGTATGTGCGCCCGTGTGCGTGTGTGGGGAGGGAGGGGGGATTCTGTGTGTTGGGGGGGGGAGGGATGGGCGGTTCTGTTCTGTGTGTTGCTCAATGGTCTGTAGATGCATATGGCATGATGAGATGAGCATGACAACAACAACAGCAGGCCATCCATCCATCCATCCATCCATCCATCCATCCATCCATCCATCCATCCATCCATCCATCCATCCATCCATCCATCCATCCATCCATCCATCCATCCATCCATCCATCCATCCATCCATCCATCCATCCATCCATCCATCCATCCATCCATCCATCCATCCATCCATCCATCCATCCATCCATCCATCCATCCATCCATCCATCCATCCATCCATCCATCCATCCATCCATCCATCCATCCATCCATCCATCCATCCATCCATCCATCCATCCATCCATCCATCCATCCATCCATCCATCCATCCATACAAACAAGCCGTTGTGATCCCAACGTAATTTGAGGCGCCTTGAAAGTCAAGTGGCCGATGAGCTGAGCATGACACCACAACAACAACAGCAGATCATCCAGAGTAGAGTAGACGCAGTGACCCCAACGTAGCGAAGCGCGCTTTACTACTTTCCCATTTGGATTTCTTACTGCTAGTTGGTCAGAGCAGACCAGCTGCTGTATACCAGCCCTTTGTCACAACTTAGGCTTAGAACTGATACATTAGTAATGAGCTTGAAGCTCTTTAAGTACATCCAAGAAGGGTAGGGAATGGATGGGGAAGGGAATCGGGGGCAATCCCTACGGATTGGGGGTAATCCCAAGGCAATCTCCAATTGGTGGATTGGAGATTGCTTGGAGATTACATTTGGGTTTGGTTGGGATGTAGGTGTACACCCAACCAAACACAAAGTGCAAACTACACTACTCTGGATATAGAAAATATAAAGTACAAAGTGTGAGATTGAGGGCTAACACTAACACCCTTGACTTGACTGAGCCTGTTTTTGGGTCGACTCAAAAACCAGCTGCTGTAAACCAGCCCCTGACCTGACTGAGCGAAGTGCTCTTTTGGCCAACTAGATAGCAGACCAAGTGATTCCCCTAAACCTGACTGAGGCAAACAGCGAGCGAGCAGCGAAAACGCTGTCGAAATCACTTTTGAGCATTCTCAAAAGAGAGCGGCATGTTGTGCTGTGCTGGCATAGCAATAGTGACCGCCACCACCACGCTTGGCTGCGCGCGCGGCTGCAAGCCGCCACACGTGGCGCCTGCTCTTCCCTTCCACGCACCCCCCTGCAGGTGTGGACACGCTTATCATTCTCGACTCTGGTGCCTTTAGGCTGGCGTTTCTAACGGTTTCTCACCTCCTCTTCCCGTCCACCTACTTTTCTAACAGGTGTGGAGTGGACACGCCTGCCATTCTCGACTCGGGGGCGATCGGTGTGACAGTCAGTCACCAGCAACCTCATCCACTCCTGTTTCTCTTCCTGCGAGATTTGAGGCGCCTGAAAACTGTGCTCCTCCCCTCCACTCATTCCTCTGCAGGTGTGGACACGCCTATCATATTCGACCCTGGGGCCATTAGGATGGCGTTTCTAACGGTTTCTCACCTCCTCTTCCCGTCCACCTACTTTTCTAAGGTGTGGACACGCCAATTAATCTCGACTCGGGGGCGATAGGAGTGACAATCACCAACAACCTCATCCACTCCTTTGGCTATTACCGCGAGATTCGAGGCACCTCAAAACTCTACACTTTCCTTCCACTCATTCCTCTGCAGGCGTGGACACGCCTATAATTCTCGACTCGGGGGCGATCGGTGTGACAGTCACCAACAACCTCATCCACTCATTCGGATCTGCTGCGATTCGGTGCGGTGCGGGTGGGTACAGCCAGAGCGATTGCATGCTATCTACAATCTCCTATAACTCCATTCAGAAGAGGGGAGGCGTGCCTGGTGGTTCTGCCAATGGGGCTTCTGTTGCTGCTGCTGCTTTTGCTGCATCGGCTGCTTCGGCTGCCTATGCTGCTGCTTCGGCTTTCGATGGTGGAGGGATCTCCAGTGCTGCTGCTGCAACTGATGACGATGATGGTGGTGGTGGTGGTGGTGGTGGTTATGGTGATGGGGATGATGGTGGTGTGGGTGTTGGTGAGGGTTCATCCAGTGTTTTAACTAACACTGGCATCGAAGATGCCCCATACTTCGCCCTCCATCGTCCCAACTTCCACTCAAGATACGAGAATCGTTATTACACTCCAGCTCATGCGCACGCTCGTGCTCTAGCACACCAGGAAACCCCGCAAGCTGTTGTTGAAATCGCTACAGCCACACCTGCTACAGCTGCACCTGCTACAGCCGCACCTGCTACAGCCGCACCTGCTACAGCCACACCTGCTACAGGCGCACCTGCTACAGCCACACCTGCTACAGGCGCACCTGCTACAGCCACACCTGCTACAGGCGCACCTGCTACTGGCGCATCTTCTGTATTGAATTTGGTTTTTGAAAGTGATAACGATGCTGGGGGAAGCACCATTGGTGGTGTGAATGCTAAGGCAGGGGACGCAGGAGTAGCGGCAACAGAAGGACGGGAACTACTGGGGCAAGGAATGGCAGACGCAACATCAGCAGCGGCAGCAGCAGCAACAGCAACAGGAGGAACCACGAGGACAACAGCAGCAGCAAGAGCAGCAGAAGCAGCAGCAGAGCGCAGGGCGTTTGCGTCGGCAGCTGGCAGCAGCAGCGGTGGCAGCTCCACTGGCATTTACTTCGCCACCAGCTGGCTCAACCCAGGTACGCTCGTGAGAGAGATGAGAAGCAACTGCACGCAGTGAGTGAACTACGTGTTTGCTTGCTTGGTTGGTTGGTTGGTTGGCAGCAAGGAGAGCTGCTACTGGGCGGTTGTGGAGGAATCACTTTTGAGAATTCTCAAAAGGAGGGGGAACCAACCACGTGAAAGCTTCCAGTTTGCTCTGTACCGTGCTCAACCACCTCCACCCATCACGAGGTGCCTTTTGAGTCGACTCGAAAGTCACCTTGGCTCTGTACCGTTCCCAACCACCTCCACCCATCACCCTGCACCACCGTGATACTGTCTCCTGCACTACCCACGCTCTGCAGGCAACCGTGCACAGTGCAACTATGTGTTTGGCACGGAGAGCAGAGCAGCTACTGGGTTGGGGGAGGAGGAAGGGGAAAGGCATGAAAGCTTGTTCTCTCTTTACCGTACTCATCCTCCCACCATTCCATCACCCCCATCCCCTCCTCCCCCTTCTTGTTGCTGCAGGCAACCGTGCACAGTGCAACTACGTGTTTGGCACAGAGAGCTGCTGCTGGGTGGGGGGAAGGGAGAGCACATGGCGCGGCTTGTTTCCTCGTACTCAGTACCCACTTGCACCCTTTTCTCCTCCTTGCTGCAGGCAACCGCGCGCAGTGCAACTATGTGTTTGGCACAGAGAGCTGCTACTGGTTGGGCGAGCATGCGATGGGCGTGGGAGGAGAGCTGCTACTGGGTGCTTGTTCTGTACCGTACTCAACCACCCAACACCTCCGGTCCTGTCCCTCCCACCCCCTCCTCCTTGCCGCAGGCAACCGCGCGCAGTGCAACTATGTGTTTGGCACAGAGAGCTGCTACTGGTTGGGCGAGCATGCGATGGGCGTGCGTGTGAGGGGCGGCGCGTGTGTGCGCACGCCCCTGGGTGTGGTCATGGATAACGGGAAGAGGTGAGCGATGGGGAGAGGAGGGAGGTGAGGCGAAGGGTGGATAGGCGAGGCAGGAGCAATGTGCTGCTCTTCCCCCTCTTTTTTTTTGAGGCTGATTCTGAGAATTCTCCTGATTTTGAGAGTTCTCCTGATTTTGAGAATTCTCCTGATTTTGAGAATTCTCCTGATTTTGAGAATTCTCCTGATTTTGAGAATTCTCCTGATTTTGAGAATTCTCCTGATTTTGAGAATTCTCCTGATTTTGAGAATTCTCAAAATCAGCGAGGCAAGGAACAATGTGCTGCTCATCATCGTACATAATGCGGGCCAGCAGCAGCACGCCAGTCACAGTCACTCTCTCATGCACAGAGCCGAAGTGTTCAACTGTGGCAGCGCAGCCCCATAGGGCGCACTGGGAGGACATGCTTTTGAAAATTCCTACAAACACCCAACGCTTGCCTCTCAAATACCCATTTCTTCACCTCCCCCACGCCCTCCTCCCAGGAACGACATTCGGTGACTGATAATGCGGGCCAGCAGCAGCACGCCAGTCACTCTCTCATGCACACAACCCATCCTTTTTATTTGACGATCACCGTCACTCCCCTAACTCCCAACATATTCCCCCAAACATCTCCGTCTCCCTCCCCTCCGCCACTCTTCCCCCCACTCCCCCTCTCAGGAACGACATCCGGTGGCTGATAATGCGGGCCAGCAGCAGCACGCCAGTCACTCTCTCATGCACACAGCCAAAAGTGTTCAACTGCGGCAGCCCCATCGGGCGCTACTGGGAAGGCATGCGCCGCTCCTACTACCGCACGCCTGCCTTTACTGCTGTGAGTGAGTTGATTCAGTTCACTGAACGAGGGGCACACTGTGTGAAAGTTACACACAGTGTGCATAGGAGTGAGAGTGTTCAACTGTGGCAGCCCCGTCGGGCGCTACTGGGAGGCTGCTCCTACTATCGAACGCCTGCCTTGCCTTCACTGCTGTGAGCTGGTTCAGTCCATGACCTGTAAAGTTACAGCACATAGACCTGACCTGATTCGTTAGGCACGTCAAAACGCCCGCGAGTGTTCAACTGTGGGAGCCCCATCGGGCGCTACTGGGAGGGCATGCGCCGCTCCTACTACCAAACACCCGCCTTCACTGCTGTGAGTGAATTCGGTTTATGATCTGACCACCAGACCTCAGCTCAGCAGTGTGCGCAAGTGAAACGTTCCTCCCACACGGACAGTGAATGGTTATCTTTAGAATGGCAGCCCCGTAGGCTGCTACTGGGAGGGCATGCGCCTCTCCTAGTACCGAACACCCCCGCTTTTACTGCTGTGAGTGCAGGGAGGATTCGGTTCGAAAACCCCATGGATCGGTTTTCAAGGCTCCTTCAAACTGGATTCTTGAAGGGCGCCTCAAATCTCGACTCGTTCTTTAGGCGCCCTGTGTTCACCTCAGTCAAACCAGTTCAAAGTGTTCACCTGTGGGAGCCCCATCGGGAAATAGCCGACTAACAACTGCGGAAGGGCATGATGTGTAATCAGAGCTTCTCTTTGCTGTCCAACATTTCCCTCCCTGCCCACCCATCCACACCATCCACACCATCCACCCCATCCCCCCCCCCCCTCCCTGGCTGTCCAGTATCGGCCAGCAGACTGACATCAACGGCACATCCAGATCTCCCTCACCGATTTTTCCTTTGACTCACAAATCGACTCAAGGATTTTACTCTCTCCCCCACCTTCTCTCCCTCCCCCCCCCCTCCCACCCACCGAACAGGCCTTTTCCTGGCTGTCCAGTATCTGCCAACAGACTGACATCAAAAGCACCCAGTGCTCCCTCACCTCTTTTTCGCTTGAGTCAATTCTAAAAAGCGACTCAATTTCTCCCCTCCCCTCCCCATCCCACACTAACCCATCACCCATCATCAGGCCTTCCCCTGGCTGTCCAGTATCTGCCAACAGACTGACATCAACGGCACCCAGTGCTCCCTCACCCCCACTCCGTCTGTTGCTGCTTCTCCTGCCCCTCCTGCTGCTCCTGCCTCTCCTGCCCCTCCCTCTCCCCGTCCTCCTCCCCGTCCTGCTCCCACCCCTTCTCCCCCCCACCCCATCTCCTTCATCTTCTCCTTCAAGCCGGCTCTCCATCATAACACCACCCATCGCATCAAAACACCTGCCCTCCCTCCGCCTCCTCCTCTTCCTCGTCCTCCTCCTGTTTTCCTTCCTCCTCCTCTTGCTCCTGCTCCGCCTCCACCCCCTCCTTCCCATTCGTCGGTATTCATCTCTTCTCTTGCAACTACCACTCTCATATCCCCACACCGCACCGCCTTCCATTCCCAAACCAGCCAGCCTTTGATCCACCTCACCACTGAAACGCACCACACCACCGAAACGCACCACACCACTGAAACGCACCACAGCACCGAAACGCACCGCAGCACCGAAACGCACCGCAGCACCCACGACGCACAACGCACCACCGAAGCCCATCACACCACCCATGAACCCCATCCTAATGCACGAGCCAGACTGGCTCATCTAGAACAGAAACCCCTCTCAGAAAACTCGCTGCTGGAAAATAGAGAAAGCGCTCCGACCAGCACAATAGCAGAAGCACAGCTACCAAAGGGATCGGATCCGCATGCAGCTTTTGCGAGTTCTGAGAAACCGACAGTAACGGCGAGGCCTGAAAAGGAGGCGGATTTGCCCAACAGAGCAGAGATGTCGTCTGAGAGAGAGATGCCGTCGCGTAGAAAGAAGCAGCCGTTGGTGGTTCCTTGTAAATTGGTTCGAATCGGCACTGCCAAGCTGGTGTTCCCTGGATCCTCTTCTGCTTCCTCCTCCAGTGGGGACAGCCGCAGCAGCAGCAGCAGAGGCGGCGGCGGCGGCGGCAACGGCGGCGGTGGCGGCGGCGGCACATCTACAGGCCAGTATCATCACCACCAGCACCACCACCAGCAGCAGCAACAGCAAGGCCAACAGCAAGACCAACAGCATGAGCAACAGGATGAGCAACAGTTTGAGAGCGCAGATCATCAGCAGCCGCAGCAGCAGCAGCAGCAGCATCAGCATCAGTATCAGCATCAGCATCAGCATCAGCAGCACCGGCAGCAGCAAGAAGCACTTGACGGTGGTGTGGCTGTGGCTGCTTCAGCCTCTCTGCTGCACCACTCTAGCTTCCGCACCTCCTCCCATCCCCACTCTCCTGCTGGGACCGTTCAGTGGGAGGTCTCAACCTCCCGCCCGCAACGCAGTAGCAGCGGCGGTGGCGGTGATAGCAGCAGTAGCGGCAGGCACAGAAGCAGGCACAGCAGCAGCCACAGTTACACGCACATGCACAGGCACACACACAGGTACAGCAACAAGAGCAGTAGCAGCAGCAGTGGCAGCAGCAGCAGTCAAGCCAGGAGAAGGAAATGGTTGCTACAAACCCCCTTGCCTGTCATAACTCCCCGTGTCACTGTTGCCAAACCTCCTAGCCAGCCTGGTGATTGCAGCGGCATACCCACTGAAAACCTCATTGCTGTTCTATCCCTCGATCCCAAAACACCCAAGCGACCTCCTCCCCCACCATCGAAACCCCCACCATCACCACCCCCATACAGTCAACCCCCATACAAGAACTGTGAATCCGTCCCTGCAGCAGATAAGGTCAACAGGTTACAGATTATCCGGTGGTCTAGACCTGTTGACGAGCTTTTATTTATCGACTACGAAAATAACAACTTCGGTGTAACAGGCACTGACTCGGCGGTGTACCAGCGGTGGCCGAATTTCAAAAGCTGCGACCGGAAGCAGGTGGGTGCAATGAAGAGCTCTGTAAAGAGGATGGACTATCTGCGCGATTTTGGCCGGGTAAAGCCGCAAGGGTTTGACTTTGTGGCAAACACAATGGGTACAGTGCACATTATGGATCCGCGGCAAATGGGATCAGATCCAATAGATTTCTGAAATTGATTTGACTGTTGGCTGTAGCAAATTGGCTTCTAAATGACCACTACAAACCGGAGCAGGTGTTTGACTTTGTGGCGAACACTGTGGTACAGTGCACATTGTGGATCCGCAGCAAATGGGTTCAGGCCAAGGCTAATTTTATCAGTGTAAATCACCCTGATACACTGATAATCAGGGTGGTTTTTGGTACGGTAGTCACACTGATGCCTTAGGGTAAAATTTTCTGGAGCTTAGATTTTCCTGATATGCCATGGTTTACGCTTAAAACCGAAATATAAAATAGTGAAGGCGGATCCAACTTGAAATCGTGCTCGGAAGAAGCAAAACTGGAACGACGATGGGCTGTGTAAAACACTGTTCTGGGCATCGCCCTTCCACAGAGTGAACACACGTGATTCGTTCCCGCCAAAAAAAAAATTCAGATCGTGCTCGCGCGTTCGCATTTTCTGCATGCGACATTTGCACGACAGTTGTTTGTCGTGCGTTTTGATGGTTGGACCCGACTTCGACTTTCAAGCTGGGCCTGGGTTCCACATATGCTTACTTCAACTCCATTCACATAGCTTGCCTAACTCACGGAGCTTGCCTAGCATAGAATAGCCAGAGACGAGGGATTAGGCTGATGCGGCATAGAAATGAAATTATCATTAGATTGTTTGTGATACTTCGTCGCCGTTGCTGCGTAGTGATATTTTCCTCGCGATCACAGAGAACCCCATTCCAGTCGCCATTCCTCTCACCCCTCTCATCGCCCACTATGCTATCCACGAGTTCGCCAAATCGCCCACCCGTCTCCCTTTCCATCGCGCGTCACGTCACCATCTCGTCGCCCGTCCCGTCGCCCTCTTTGTCGCCCTCTCTCCCCTCCTCTCCTCCCGTCGGCCTCTCTCTCGCCCCTCCCTACCGATCGCCCTCCCGTCGCTCGCCCCGTCGCGCTCTCTCTCTCCGCTCCCTTCCCGTCGCCCTCTCTCTTGCCCCTCCCTTCCCGTCGCGCTCTCTCTCTCCGCGCCCTTCCCGTCGCCCTCTCTCTCGCCCCTCCCTTCCCATCGCTCTCTCTCTCTCTCTCCGCTCCGCCCTCTCTCTCGCTCCTCCTTCGAATCGCGCTCTCTCTCCGCTCCCTTCCCGTCGGCCTCTCTCTCCGCTCCCTTCCCGTCGCGCTCTCTCTCTCCGCTCCCTTCCCCTCGCCCTCTCTCTCGCCCCTCCCTTCCCGTCGCGCTCTCTCTCACCGCTCCCTTCCCGTTGCCCTCTCTCTCGCCCCTCCCTTCCCGTCGCGCTCTCTCTCTCCGCTCCCTTCCCATCGCCCTCTCTCTTGCCCCTCCCTTCCCGTCGCGATCTCTCTCTCCGCTCCCTTCCCGTCGCCCTCTCTCTCGCCCCTCCTACCCGTCGCTCTCTCTCTCTCTCTCTCTCTCTCTCTCTCTCTCTCTCTCTCTCTCTCTCTCTCTCTCTCTCTCTCTCTCTCTCTCTCTCTCTCTCTCTCTCTCTCTCTCTCCGCGCCCTTCCCGTCGCCCTCTCTCTCGCCCCTCCCTTCCCATCGCGTTCTCTCTCTCCGCTCCGCCCTCTCTCTCGCTCCTCCCTTCGAATCGCGCTCTCTCTCCGCTCCCCTCCCGTCGCGCTCTCTCTCTCCGCTCCCTGTCAAATTATAATATTGTGTAGGCTATAGTGAGGTAGCCCATATGGGGTACACATTTCTAGGGTTGCATATTTGTATCACTTCCATTCCTTAGTCATTCATTCTCGTTCACATCTTCTCATGGTATCGAGCAGGTTCCCCCGTGGGAACTGTGCCTAGGGCCCACCACCACATCGACCTTTGTTTTTTCTGCCCGAAGCGCGCTCCGCCCGAGTCGCACTTCGGGCTCTCACCTCGTCGAGCCGCCCTAGCGGCCCTTTCCCCTAGCGGCCCCGCCGCCCGTCGCTTCGGTCCCGCCGCCCGTCGTCGCGGCCCCGCCGCCCTACCTCGCGGCCCCGCCGCCCAACCTCGCGACCCCGCCGCCCTACCTCGTGGCCCCGCCGCCCTACCTCGCGGCCCCGCCGCCCTACCTCGCGGCCCTGCCGCCCTACCTCGCGGCCCCGCCGCCCTACCTCGCGGCCCCGTCGCCCTACCTCGCGGCCCCGTCGCCCTACCTCGCGGGCCTGCCGCCCTACCTCGCGGCCCCGCCGCCCTACATCGCGGCCCCGCCGCCCTACCTCGCGGCCCCGCCGCCCTACCTCGCGGCCCCGCCGCCCTACCTCGCGGCCCCGTCGCCCTACCTCGCGGCCCCGCCGCCCTACCTCGCGGCCCCGCCGCCCTACCTCGCGGCCTTGCCACCCTACCTCGCGGCCCCGCCGCCCTACCTCGCGGCCCCGTCGCCCTACCTCGCGGCCCCGTCGCCCTACCTCGCGGCCCTGCCGCCCTACCTCGCGGCCCCGCCGCCCTACATCGCAGCCCCGCCGCCCTACCTCGCGGTCCCGCCGCCCTACCTCGCGGCCCTGCCGCCCTACCTCGCGGCCCCGCCGCCCTACCTCGCGGCCCCGTCGCCCTACCTCGCGGCCCCGCCGCCCTGCTCAGCGGCCCCGCCGCCCTTCTGCAGCGGCCCCGCCGCCCTACCCAGCGGCCTCGCCGCCTTTCTGCAGCGGCCCTGCCGCCTTTCTGCAGCGGCCCCGCCGCCCTACTCCTGCGGCCCCGCCGCCCTACTCCTGCGGCCCCGCCGCCCTACTCCTGCGGCCCCGCCGCCCTACTCCTGCGGCCCCGCCGCCCTACTCCTGCGGCACTGCCGCCCTACTCCTACAGCCTCGCCGCCCTACTCCTACGGCCCCGCCGCCCTACTCCTGCGGCCCCGCCGCCCCACTCAGCGGCCCCACCACCGTTCACCAGCGGCCCTGCCGCCCTACACCGCCCGCGCCGCCCGAGCTGCCAGAACAGCCCGAGCCGCCCGAGCCGCCCGAGCCGCCCGAGCCACCCGAGCCGCCCGAGCCACTCGAGCAGCCCGAGCCGCCCGAGCCGCCCGAGCCGCCCGAGCCGCCCGAGCCGCTCGAGCCGCCTGATCAGCCGAGTCGCCGGTGCCGCGGAGCCGCAGTCGCTACTGAGCCGTCCGAGCAGCCGTGTTGACGTGTTACTGCACTACTGAGCTGCCCGACTTGCCCTGTCTGGTGAGACCAGCGCTTCTGTCACTACACTGCCCCTGTCCTACAGTTGGTCTCGCTAGTCTACTGCTGTCATGGCTTCCCCTAGTGTTCTCGCTTTTGACGCTGAGGGTCGAGCCATTGACTTTGAGGTTTGGGTAGATGACCTGCAGCTCTTCTTACAGTGCGATACGGTAGACGGTCTCTCCCTCTTTGACCTCACCTCTGGTACTTCCTCTGCCTCTGCTGCCGATGTCGACGCCACTGTTCGCTCCCAGTGGGCCACTCGCGATGCTGCTGCACGTCTTGCTGTGCGTCGCCACCTGCCTACAACTGAGCGCGCGCACTTTAGTCAGTACAAGAGTGCTCACACCTTATACGACGCTGTAGTTGCGCGCTACTCTTCCCCTGCCACTGCTGCACTGAACCGCCTCATGCTACCGTACCTCTTTCCTGACCTTGCTGCCTTTCCCACAGTCGCTGACCTCATTACGCACCTCCGCACTAGTGACACTCGCTACCGCGCCGCACTTCCTGCTGAGTTCTGCGCCAAGAACCCCCCCCCCCCATGTACATCACTCTCTATTATATAGTCACTCGCCTCCCTGACTCCCTTCGCGTAGTCATGGACCACTTCCTCTCAGTTTGTCCCACCACTCTCATTGTTGACCTCCTAGAGAAGGCCCTCCTAGCAGCGGAGAAGAGCATAGTCGCTGTAGGAGCCTCTCGTGGTGACCCTCGCACCCCCATCTTTGAGGGGTGTTCCTCTTCCCCCCTGTTGCCCTCTGTCGCCTCTGCTGCTGCGGCCGACCTCGTTGGTCTTGAGTCGGTCGGTACGGCGTCTGCCCCTAGCGGGAGACGCTGCCCTGGCAAGGGCAAGGGGGGCAAGGGCGCGGGTGGAGCTAGCGGGGGTGGTGGAGGTGGCGGTGGAGGCGGCGGAGGGAGTGGGGGTGGCGGTGGGAGTGGTTGCGGGGGTGGTGGTGGTGGTGGCAGCAGCGGAGGCGGCAGCGGTGGGAGCGGAGGTGGCGGTGGTGGCAGAGGTGGAGGCGGCGGTGGCGGAGGAGGTGGAGCTGGGCGAGGTGGTGCTTCGCAACGGAGCAGTTCCGGTAGTGGTCAGCGCCAGCAGCAGCAGCAGCAGCGTTCTCAGGACATCCCCCCTTCTCAGCAGCTCCGTCAGTGGTACACGCAGCGTCAGCGTGGTGGGGGTTTTGGTCCGTGCACCTACGTCCTTCGCTCCGGCGACCCTGCGGGTGAGCAGTGTGGGGGTGCCCACCCCACCCAGCGCTGCTTTGGCCGCCTGACGGACGCTTGGCGTCAGCAGTTCCCGGAGGCTAGTGAGATCCCCCGCTGGGGAGAGCTGTCTAGGGCAGGTGTCGCTATCTATGATCTTGACTTTGATGCTATCCTTGCTGCCATGTATGCTGTGACTATTAGTGATGAGGGTGACAGTTACCGGTGTTTCCCGCCCGACCCGGGCATCGGTATTGCTGCGCTAGGTGCAAGTGAGGCTGCTGCTCTAGGTGCCAGCGCGTCTGCGCCATGAGGTACTGGTGAGGCTGCGCTCTCAGGTACCACGTCGGCTTCGGCCTCCCTCACCTTCACACTTGACTCGGGGGCTTCTCGCTCCTTCTTTTGTGACCGCACCACACTCACGCCGCTTGGTCGGCCCGTTGCAGTCTCCCTGGCAGACCCCTCTGGGGGTCCTGTCCTCTCTCACTTCTCTACTGTCCTCCCGTGTTCGGCTGCCTCCTCTGGCACCTTATCTGGTCTTTACCTCCCCTCGTTCTCGACGAACTTGGTGAGTGGTGCTGACCTACAGGATGCGGGGGTTCACCAGTTTACTCCTGCGAGTCAGCGGGGTCCCACTGCTCGGACGCACGCACGGGCCGACACCTGGCCACGTTTTCGCGTCGGCCGGGGTCGAGCCTCTACACCCTGACCACTGGGTCCCCTCCTGTTCCTGCTTCTGGCCAGGTAGCTGCGTCGGGTCAGGTGTTTGCTGCAGCGTCCAGGTCTGGTCCTGAGTCTGCCCCCTGCTCGTGTCGCCTCCTGTCTCACGAGACTCTCCTCTGGCACCACCGTCTTGGTCACCCCTCCCTGCCTCGTCTCCGAGGCATGGCTTCCCGTGTCCTTGTCTCTGGTCTTCCCCGGTCACTCCCTCCCCTTCCTCCGGGGCCTGGTCCTTCCTGTGTCCCCTGTGTCGAGGGGCGGCTCCGAGCTGCCCCTCACTCCTCTCAGTTTCCCCCGACAGAGGCCCCGCTGCAGACGCTTCACATGGACGTGTGGGGCCCGGCCCGCGTCCGTGGACAGGGTCACGAGCGCTACTTCCTGCTGGTGGTTGACGACTACTCGCGTTACACCACAGTCTTCCCCTTGCGCAGCAAGGGTGATGTCGCTGAGGTGTTGATCGACCGGATCCGCGCAGCTCGTCTCGAGCTCAGGAGGAGCTTCGGCTCGGACTTTCCTGTTCTGCGTCTGCACTCTGACCGAGGCGGAGAGTTCTCCTCTGGCCTTCTGCGAGCCTATTGTCGTGCGCGGGGCATTCGCCAGACCTTTACGCTTCCGGACTCTCCACAGCAAAATGGGATTGCTGAGCGCCGCATTGGCATGGTCATGGACGTCGCTCGTACGTCCATGATGCATGCGGCTGCCCCCCATTTTCTGTGGCCGTTTGCGGTTCGGTATGCGGCGCATCAGATCAACCTTCACCCCAGGGTCTCCAGGCCGGAGACCTCCCCAGCCTTGCTGTGGACGGGGAAGGTCGGCGATGCGTCTACGTTCCGTGTCTGGGGATCTCGGGCGTTTGTCCGCGACTTGTCTGCGGACAAGCTGTCCCCTCGTGCTGCTCCCTGTGTCTTCTTTGGCTTCCCCCCTGACGCCCTTGGGTGGCAGTTCTACCACCCCACCTCTCGTCGTGTTCTGTCCTCCTAGGACGTCACGTTCGACGAGTCAGTCCCCTACTACCGCCTCTTCCCCTACCGCACTCCTTCCCTCCCCCCGCCACCGCACTTCCTTGTACCAGGTCCCCCCCCGGTAGACCCCCTCCCCCCTCAGGGTCCTGCCCCTTCAGGTGTGTCCCAGGTAGATGCAGTCAAGCCGCTCGAGGTTGCTGGTGACTCTGGTACTGCTGCGGGTGCTGAGCCTGGGGGTGCTGACTCTGGGGGTGCTGCACGCGTGGGTGTTGAGCCTGGGGGTGCTGAGTCTGGGGGTGCTGCGACAGGGGGTGCTGAGCGTGGGGGTGCTGAGCTTGGGGGTGCTACGACTGGGGGTGCTGAGCCTGGGGGTCCTTCGCCTGGGGGTGCTTCGTCTGGAGCTGCTGAGCCTGGGGGTGCTAAGTCTGGAGCTACTGATCCTGGGGGTGCGGAGCCCGCAGCTGCTGGACCTGCTCGTGTGGTGTCTGGCGGTGCTGGGCCTGGTGGTTCTCCGGGTGCTTCGTCTCGGCGCGAGCCACTCTCTCCACAGGAGCTGCGCGAGTGGTTTGCCCGGCGCTGGAGGCGTACTCCTTGAGCTGGTGCTTCTTCGGCTGCTGAGGGTGCTGGTG